TCCTCTTGGTTCTGTGCTGTAATGAAAAAGTTTGTACTCCTGCCACTCAAATTTGTGTGAAATCAGGTTGTTTCTGCAAGGAGCAGAAGATCTGAACTTGGCAGAATTCATGCACTAAATGGTATTGGTAAATAAAATTTGTTTCCTATGGCTGTGATTTCTAATATGGCAAACTTTTCTAATATGGTCACACTTTAGAATTACTCTGGAAAGAAAGACCAAAGAAATGGTCTGGTTTGTTGTTTCCCATATACGTAGACATTATCTGTAACAACCTGACTAAGGTATTTTGCAGTTAGATGTGTATGACTCGAGAAGCAATCAGCAATGTCAAACCTGTTTGTTAGAGAGGTGGGTTTTTCTGTAAAGAAGAATGGAAACCTGAAGAGCTTTCCGAGTATGTTGCAGGCACTAAAGTGGAGCATGGGGGAGAAGGCAGACTTTTTACTATTTCCTCATTCTCTTGTGTCATATACAATATGAGATGCTAAATGAAGAAACCTTTGTGCTAGATAATAGTTAGAAAGTTTCTGATACACAAACACTGTTAGACCAAATACAAAGAAATTAATAAAGCTGAAATTTAACAGTAGTTAAACATTTGGTTTCCTGAACTTGATATAAGGTCAAAGAGTCATCATGGACCAGATTATTATTGCAGACATTAATTTGCGCATTTGTATCTAAACCGAGATCTTTAGCAGAAGTGAACTCAAGGTTTTATGCAAACACTTTGTTTAAAAGTCCCTGAAGGCATTTGAAAACTCTGGAAAGAAGGTTTTATTACTGAAAAAATGGCAGCTGTGATGTGGGTTTCTCTTTTATTCAAGCATAAATAAATTACATATAAGAAATTCAGTCTCTATTCACTCTATTACATCATTGTATGGCTGGGGTTACCTTAACATAGTTACAGATGATATTACAGCAAAGAATGATTTGGTTTTAGTACGATATTGCATGGGAGTTCCCTTCTGATTCAAACTCTTCAATTTGGAAGTGTGACGGTTCTGTGATTTCAGCAGGTCTTTTTCAACTAGCAGTTTTATTCTCACTGCAGAGGGGCGTTGACTAGAAACCAGCACTGCAGAGAAGTAGATCTGAGGCCATAAATGAGTACTTGAGTGAAGTTTCCTTGCAACTATAGGAAGAGTGCTTTAATTGAGTCTGTTCTGTATGTGCTTAGTGCTGACCTTTTAGACTGTGCCTAGGCATCCTTTCTAAAGCAGGAAAGTTAATGCAAATAATTAGATGCTTTTTTGGACTTGTGTCCTAAGCACTGAGGAGCCAACCCTTCTTCACTGTTTTGAAACATTAATCACAGGTCTCTTTAAAAATGGATATAAGGGGGCAAATGGCTAATTCTGAATGTCTGTGCACACCCTTTGTAGTTTTGGAATGAGACTGGTCTCAAGCAAAGGGCTGGCTATTTTCTGCCCATCTAAGGTTGAAATGATGCTGTGTCATTTTGATCTTAACACTTGTGAGACAATCTGCTTAATGCTGTGAGGTTTACGTGTTCCTTATGCTGAGATCATTGGTGTACATAAGCCTACTTGTCCTTTCCTTCTGTGTTTTGCTTATGTTCTGTCACTTCATAAATTTGTGTAATATCTGTACCTGCCTCCTATTTTTTCTTGCTCCAAAATTTGAATTCTTATAAAAGGTCTTGACTTTTGTGTGTTATATCATATTTATGCTTATACTGAAATACTTCTTGTAACTGAAAAAAAAATTGTCTGCAACTACAAATGTTTACTGAAAGGGTTGTTTCCAGAGCATTTATTATACAGTATTTATTCAAGAGATCATTGTGGTATCAAGTAGTGATGAACTTCAGGTTTTCCCCTGGAAAACCAAACTCAAAGAACTAGTCCTTTGTATTACATTTTCTTGTAGTAGTATGAGCCACATAAAAGAACCATTACCTAATATTCTTCTAAACAGAAGGTGACTGCATTGTCAAAGACTGCTGGTGAGTAATTGCAGATAGTGTTGCCAGATTGTGACTAAGTGGGTACAAAATTTTAGATTAAATCATTTACAAACTAGTAATGAGTTTTCAATGCAGCTTTTTTTCCCCTCTATTCTGGAATACTTAAAATGGACTTCAGTTTATATGTGGGCAAAGTATTTCTGTAGTTACTTGTAAGCAAATACAAAATGGTGTCTTAAGAGTATAAGTGCTACTTTTGGGGATTGGGGATGACATAACCATTCAGAGCAATCAAAAGGAAATGAAGTAAATGATTGGATTCCACAGGAGAGAATATAGGGAACTTCAGCACAAGATGATGTTGTTTACATATTAACTTTGCATAGCTTTATTTTATATGCTTTCTCAGAAGGCTGTATTTTTCTCTGTCTGTAAATGGGGTCAGTGATGGATTTTTGTGGTTAATATGGCATTTGTGAGGTATATCAGTTTTGGGTTTTTTTGTTGTAGACTGCTTATATGTGGCAGGAGAACATGTCTGATAGGAAATGGTGTTGCAGATGAAAGGCTTGCAGTGGTATTTTCAATATTTTTATTTTTGTGAAGACAAGTTTGTTCAAAAATGTCAGGTGTGGGCTGTGTGTGAGTTTTTAAGATGTGCTCTCAACTTGTTTACACACATTTACTCCTTTTCCTCAAGTACCTTTGTTTTTGAACTGCCAGTGAGTACTTAGACATCATACACTTAACTTTAACCTGGTTAAAGGCTAAATAGCAGGTCCTGGCTTTCTTTACCAAAGATAAATATCAGGGTATTATCAGCTCCCTGGGTGCATAGCTAAGGGGTCCCAGGTGTATCTCCTAGTTTGAGGATACAGTTCTCAATTCAGTTAAGGGCTTGTTGTGGTTTAAACCCAGTCAGGTAATTCGTTCGCTCACTCCCCCCCCCCCCCTTCTTGCCCTCCCCCTGCTCTCGGAGGGACAGAGGGGAGAATCGAAAAGAATGCAACTCCCACGGGTTGAGATAAGAACAGTTTAGTAACTAAGGTATAACACAAATCACTACTGCTACCACCAATGATAATAATGATAAAGGAAATAACAAGGGAAGAGAATACAACACCTCAGCACCAGCGAACCGATAACTCGCCCCCCAAGCCCGACCAAGCTTCGACCGATACCTCCTCCAACCCTGCAGTCTCCCAGCCCTTCCGGCTCACTCCCAGTTACATCCTGGGCATGACGTGCTGTGGTATGGAATACCTCTTTGGTCAGTTTGGGTCAGGTGTCCTGTCTCTGCTTCCTCCTGGCTTCCCCTCCTCCCTGGCAGAGCATGAGGCTCACAAAGTCCTTGGCCAAACCAAAACATCCTTGTTATCAGCTCTGTTCCTGAGCTGAAAGTCAAAACACTGCACTACACCAGCTACCAAGAAGGAGAAAAAATGACTGCTACTGCTGAACCCAGGACAGGGCTGTGTTTGAAAAAGGAAAGCGAGACTCCAGTTTTCCACGTTGCGTGGTCTTGCTCTTTCTCCCTAAGATCCACATTCAGGAACCTGCAGTTACCACTTCTGACCATAATCATCTCTTAAGACTACAAGGTGACAGTAAGTAGAAAGAAGAATCAGAAACTCAGTAGAGATTCTGAATCCATTGGAAATAAAAAAAATAATGTGTGGGAGAAAGAAAACACTTCATGTCTGGGTTAGACTAGTGTTGTCAGCAAAATTTCCTACACAAATCCATCCAGATATTCCACTCACAACTTAGCGTGAGCTAGATGGGCCTCAGACCTGCTGGGACTTGCAGATAAACGTGCTAGAAGAGGATTCCCCATTAGGAACAGTCTAACCATGACCCAACTAATATTTCCAAAGTGCAGTGTTTCCTGCCTCTGAGCTGGTGTGTGTGCCAGAGATTTCCTGTGTGGTCCCAGGATCCAAAGTTACAGGGTGTCACTGGGCTCAGAGTGCCCCACAGTGAAACTTTCTGCCTCGGTTTTGTTTAGCATCTATGTCAAACTTCAGCACGGCACATAAGTCAGCCACAGAGGGATTACGTAGCCCTTGAAAAAGAACTATTCCCATTCTGGAATCTCATTTTAATCTCTTCAAAAAGATAACAAGCTGAAATAGTTGTCTGCTATTTTTGTATTTCTTCTTCCATCCCTGATCTTATGCCTCTTGTGTGAAAAGGTCTGGGCTCAGAATCTTAACATCTAATTGACACCAGTTAAGTGCCTGGTACAAACCACTTGTATCACCAGTACCATGGATGCTAATGCCCCCCTAAGTAGAGCTGCGGTCATAGCCTTTTTGCTGGTTGCAGTCTCTGTGCTAGAAGAGATTTCAGCAGCCAATCATTCTTCACCCTAGTCATTATTTGAAACAGTCAATATAATAGCCTGTGCACTGTGTCCTTGTGAAGTAATGCAGTAGTCTGGATTTATTTCCTAATGAATAACCATTTGTCATGTAAAAACTATCCCTGAGGAACTCTCGCATAAGGAATTAGTGCAGCTGAAGAGACATATGGAGCACAGAAGGTCATTAATTCAGAGATCCTGTTAGAGCTCAGGTGGGGTATTTGCATTTTTTCCCCATTTATTATATACTTTAAGATGTAACAACAAAAAAACCCTCCAACAAACGTAGTACACCTCTGTGTTTAATGTGGTGAATGTTCATTGATTATGTACAGTAATGATACAGATCTCATGTGCATGCTACTAGCCTAGGGGAACAATAAATTGAATAAAAAAGCATTGAGAATTATTTGTTCGTAGAGATTTGCTTTGTTAACGGCAGAGAGTATATGATCATGGTGTTTAACTGCCTGATAGGGACTATACATATACATACAGTAACTAATCCTTAGCGGTACTTTAGCTATCCAACTTCTTAATTGAATCATGCTTTAAAATCATTGCAACCTTTATGTTACTCAGTGGCTTTTGATTGCATTGTGTATAAAAGAAACAAGCCTGAAGATAAAAATTAATTGGACACTGGGTTACAAAGTCATATAGCAAAATCCAATCTTTGTTTCTTTTGTTGCATCCTAGGAGGCTTTTCCATGGGAGGTGGAATGGCAATGCACTTAGCGTATAGGTTTCATCAAGATCTGGCAGGAGTCTTTGCTTTGTCTAGTTTTCTCAATAAAGACTCTGCTGTTTATCAGGTGAGTGTGTGGAAGTCTTTACAAAAAAACTGCTTAGCTAAAAGCAAAAGAGGATAATTGAGTATAGAATGTTTATTCATGTGATGCAGTTCATTAATATTCTCAATCTGTGACATTTCCTGGAAACAAATAATTAGAGTATTAGGAAAGTGAGGCTTAAAAAGCTGCCCTTACATGAGGTTTTGTTTCTTTTTTGCACAGACAGTGCAATTATTTTATTTGTAGTAAGTTAGTGTAGAAAGCAGATGAGGAAATGAAATGATTTCTGAGTTCTCTTTAATTGTTAGAGAGTCCATGTAAGTATAACTATTATTTGAAAATTTGTGATGAATTACAATTCTCATGGGCTCCATCTGCTGTCATGATTTTTTTTTTTCTATTTCTCTTATTGGAGAGGGGTATAGACCTTAAACCCTATCATTTGCCGAGATTTAGCACATTGGAATTGCATATGGAAGTGCAGTTTATTCCCAGTATTTCTTTGTTTGCTGCTACTAAAATGTATGAAAATTCTCACCATGTAATTAGCTATTAATTAAAATTTTTTAATGATGTGTCTGTTTTTTTTTACATTTAGGCTTTGAAAAGAAATGAAAGTGTTCTTCCAGAATTATTTCAGTGTCATGGAACTGCTGATGAACTTGTCCTCTATTCATGGGGTGAAGAGACCAACAAGATGCTAAAGTCACTGGGAGTATCAGCATCACTTCATACTTTTCCAGACCTTAATCATGAGTTAAGCAGACCTGAAATTGAAAAACTAAAAACCTGGATTGTAAAGAAATTACCTGTTGAAGCATAAGCACAAATGAATAAATAAGATGCAGCTTTCACATACTTTCTGATTTTTGTAGTTTTAAGAAATGCTTGGCATGTATGTGAGTGTACCATGTACCTTATATAAGCACAGCTTGATGCAGACACTGTTACATTCTATAAAGTTCACTTAAGTGCTGAATTGATGGTGCTGTTAACACTCATTACACTCATTCTATCATCTGGATTTCTTTTCCTGTTTTCTTGTCCAGTTTTGAAATGCATATTCATGTCAGTCTATGGAAAAATAATGACTAATATTATTAAAGCCATTCCTAAATAATCAAAACAGTATTCAGGTAGGATTGACCTTAATTTCCCAGATACCTTTCTTTTTCATGTTTGTGTGTTCTAAGATGGAAAAATATACAGTGTGGTCAGCTTTGCAATAGCATTGGAGCATAAAAAGGCTGCTATAGTCTGTTATTTAAATAATGGACTTTTTACTCATGGGAATATATACATATATTCAAGTTACTTCACTTAGAGGAACTTTATTGGCTTCAGTTGTGTTTTCAGAATGTGGGAATGAACCTGCATCAAAGCAGAGCTGTATGTCACCTCAAAACCTAACCAAAGTTAGTGGTGAAAGCCACAAGTAGCTGTGTCTAGCTATACCAGAGGCCCTAGTTCTTACTCATTCTCATTGATTTGTTACTCGGAGATCTAGTTTTATGCAGGTTGCTTGAGCCCTGTGTGGTTTATAGTGTAGGCTTAAACCCCAGTGGATAAAGTGCCATCATGATAGTTAAGTTCTATCCCGTTTTTGAAGAAATCATTCTTTGGGCACCGTTCCTGTAGAAACCTGTTTTTGCCAACAGATTTAGTTTGGCCTGCAAGATAGCATTTGAAATGAAAAGTTGAGGATACTTGACTCCTCTGTGAATATTTAAGAGTTGTAAATAATGATTGTGATATAAAGAAAACTTGTATCCTGTTATTTTAATGGTGGATGATTCATTTCTATGTCATTTTCATAAATTAACTCAGGGTATAAATATCTCTTATGTAATTTTAAGGCTTTTTTTATTGCCCCCCCCCCCCCCACCTTTCTCCTCCCCAAATTTAGCAATTTTTTTAGCATTATAAGGTATTCAGCCTTTTGCCAAAGCAAATAGATCCAACTCTTTTGCTTAATCTTGTCCCTCCCCCTTTTCTGAAGAGTGGATCTAGGACACTGTTGTTTGCCCTGTCACAGCAGGTTGCTGCCTATACTGGCTCTGACTCCACAAGCCTTAGCCAGCTCTGCTGGACTGAGTTTTATTTGAATCCTCATGCACCTAAGCCAGCTTTTACCTATCTTGAAGAATACGCAAAGGGGAAAAAAATGTCACTGTTCAAGCACAAGGCATGTAATTGGCAGTAGCAAGTAACAACTTCCTGCTGCTAAAAATACTTTACTTTATTTCATTTTGCTAGCATTAGCGAGTCAGCAGGCTATTCTGAGAAACAGGGTTTTAAATGGCACATGAAAACTCAGCTATTTGAAACAGTAACCAGGCAGCACTTTTTCCTGGTGCCCTGGGCTTCCTAATTACCACAAATTAAATGGAAGCAGGTGTGTTCCGAGGCAGCTGAGCTAATATTGCCTTGGCCCAACTCTAATTGCAATCCTTGACAAGTGAAGGTGAAGGCATTTTAGGGCTAATACATCATTTTGAGGTTTGCACTGTTTTCTGCTCGTCCTACAGTTCCTGTCGGTAGGCTGTTTAAACTGCTAATGCAAGGTGGCAACTCATTTTGGTGACAAGTGCATTCAGACGAGAAAGTGGTGGCCTCCTGGCAAGGTGGCTTTTTGCAAGGTCAGAACAGCACAAAGCAGTTGAAATAAGGTTATGGAGGGAATAGAAATTATTACGAAGCCAAACCCAGTTCTTTTGATTGTTTTTGTAGTGTCTGTAGTTGCAAATACAGAAGATATACAGAGTTTGGTTTTGTTCCCCTGATATAGGCTGAGAAGCAATTTCAAAGGTTTGCATTTCATATCTTGCTTAGAAAACAGTGAAGTCCCCAGTTTGAATCTTTTTTCTTCCGTCTTCCTTGGCTTGTGAGTTAAACACTGTGACATGAGATTGGAAAACTGTTGGGTTTATGCTGTAAAGGGGTCCCAAATCTCAGAGTTTTGAGGTCACTTTTGGAATGTTAGGAAACTTCTCAGAGTTTTCCATCAGTAAACAGGTAGCTGCAGTGATGACTGTGTGGCTTGGGCATAAATGGGCAAATGCCCAGCCTATTTGCCAAGGATTGTGTGGTTCTGTTTCTCAGATTGTGCCTAGCTCAGGTTGAACAAACAGATGAAAGTTTAGCCCACAAAAAGCTGGACTGCTGGTTGGTATTGAGAAGCAGCCAGAGGCAATGTTGGTCTGTGAAGACACTGGGCCTGCTGTTAAATTTCTAGTCATATGAAAACTTTAATAGCCAAAATCAGCCCAGGTGCTTGACAGCATGTTTCAGAAGGAATTCAGGTAAGTTTTTGACTGACTGGCCCCTTTTTACTACACTTAAAAAAGCAGCGTACACTTAAAAAAGCTTAAGAAGTCACTACAGCTCCATGATTTATCTTTTGGTTGCTGGGTGGAGTTTGAAGTACTTTGTAGCATCTTTAAGGATTAAAGAGTTTCCTTTTGACTAGGTCATTGCATGTTGTTGGGACAGAGTTACAGTAGCAGAGGCCAGGGCATACAGAGCCCTGAGCTGGTATGTGATATTAGTTGTATCTAGTATAGAAAAAGAGAATGGAAAAGAATACAACTGTTTTCATTCATCCCTAGTATTTCAGACCTGTTATCTTCACAGGTGTTTATGTTTATGTTATGTATCATGTGATGATATTAAGGAGATAGATGACATGTACTTTTAAGAGGAGCAAACAACTCAGTTGTCTCTTATTTTTTTCTTTTACATAGGCTTTCTCCTGTTTCTTTCTTACAGATTGAAGGAGAAAAACATGTTTAAAGATACAATCCTGTACATCATTGTGAAGAGCAAATTGCAAAATTTCAGTGCTAAGCATGGATCTGTATCACTTGAGCTACTGAAGGTACGAGAGCATCAGTAGAACAATGGTGGCTCAGTGCTGATCCAGAGGAGACAGGAGCAATTACCTGGCATGCTGTTTATGTTCCTATTGTAACTCTTTGGGGATTTTTTTCTTTCAAACTTAGAAAAGAGTTTGGCATTTAAGTATGAACTTCTAAAACCATTTAAAAATATAACCAAAATAACTGAGTAAATCCACTCAGATTGATGTTACTTTATTGGAGCTTGGTACTGTTTCAGTAAGCAAAAGAAAACCAGTTTACCCTTTAACTCTCGTGGGCTCTGTTGGTGTGTTCCATACTGCTTCAGAAACAAAGCACTGAGTGTTAGGACTCTTTTCCTTTTTAATTTTCTGACAGTACCCATTTGTATTTCATATGTTTGCAGCTTGTGACTAGATCATTGCTTTGAACCTGAGTGCCTTCTGAATAAGTAATGTGCTAGTACAGACATGTAAAGCCAGAGAACAAATGTGAATAAGGCAGAAATTGACTAATCAATGAGGGAAGCCAGAAGTTTTTGGTAACATAATTTTAACATTAAAGTAAGTTCTCAAATTAGTCACTTCTCATGCTAGATCTTTAGCTTTTTTAGTAAATCATCTTTAAAGCCATTTAACAAGTCTCTACAGATGGAGTGAGCCAAGTGAGTGAATATAGCTTGCATTTATAAAGATGAGATCCAGATGGCAAAACACAGAAATGGGAACCTAGTGGATGATGTTAGAATTAAATTTGTTAAGATATAGATGGAGGAAAGCAATAAGAGTTTATTTCCAGTTGAGCCACGTTCTAAGACAGCTGAGAAGGCTGTTTGGGAGATCTTAAAAGAAAAATCCATTCCATTAGTTTTCCAACTTGAGTAAACCTTAATTTGTGATGCAGCTGGTTAAAGGTGCCCTAGAGAAAGGAAATAACACAATTACCAATTCATGTAGTTTCCTACTTTTGTTTGTTTCCCAAACTCCCTTCCATTGTAGGAACCTGATATTGCTACTCAGAAGAAACAGCAGCTAGCAGCTCTCTTTTCAATACCAAATTGTCTGCTCAGATATTTCTTTATACACTGCAGTGGGACTTAACAGCATCCCGTTCATGTCTTGGTTACCAACTGATCAGTAGCACTCACCGAGCATGTGCAAGACAAGTGCTTCTTCTTGTACAGAGCTGTGAAGGAGAGTATTTGTCTTTATAAATGAGAGCTATAAGGAAAGGAAAAGTCAGTGGCTTTCCCATCCCCATTCTGTACTTCAGTGGCCAGCATTAGCTAAAGATGTGAAACACCTGGATTTAATTCCTCTGCCCATCTGAGCACGTTCACCTGTGTACCAGGTCTTAAAGTGTTACCTGTATAGCCAATTTATCTGGTATATTTTTAGTATAGACTGTATTATCATTCAGTAGAATGCAGAAGGTATTCCACATTTTCTTTTGCCTAAGAGCTAGGCTGCTTCTCTGTCTTTCTCTGAAGGAGTGTTTAAGTGTTGAAGTGGAGAAGACAGCATCCTGCATCAGTGTGCTGATGACTGGTTTGAGTCATTTCCTGTGAGCCTGGAATACCAGCCTGCATTCTCTCTTGCAGAGGCAGGAAATGATCTTGTTCCCTGTGTCTCGGGTGAGCACTGTGTTTAATGAACAGTTAGATTAATAAAACAATTTCAGAGGAGCCGGTGGCATGGATCTAGTAAAGCCCTTTATTCCCCAGGGCACAGCAGTGAGCCTGACTACCTTAGCTAATGTGCCACCATTGGGACAGGTTTTGTGAGTTTGATTTAAAGTGCAGAAATTCAGCTCCCTTGTTAAGCATTTGAGGGCTGTAGGCACTTCTTTGGTCAGGCGGCAGCTGAAATCTTTTGTGAGTTCATTGTGTAAATCAGTTGGCTCTTTGAAAATACAGGCAAAAGCTGGTTGCTCCTTAAGCCCTCCAAAACAGTTATGAAATGAGCGTTAAGCATTATTCTTGGATCAGTAATGGCTTGTGAT